CATCTTCTCTGGGGAATGCTCCTCTGTGCTGCCACTTACCATGTGATGTCTTAGCTGTTCATCTTCTTGCCCCTGGACTCGAGCAGTTTGAAGTCACGGCTCTGCCTTAATTATATTGAATTGTCAGTGCCTAATAAAGGGTCTGGCACATAGCAAGTGCTCAATAAATAAATATGGAATGACTATGTCTTTACTCAAACTGGTGCTAACTAATATGGAACCACAGTAACTCCACATCTCTTTATAAAGGAGCTTTCACACTCAGAGACAATGAAACCACAAACATAATTGAAGTAGCTATTCCACATAGGAGATATAACTGGCATAGGAATGCTCCTTGGACTGTAGAATGTAAACTTATTTATAACCTTGAATAATTGTTGTTATTCAAGGAGCTTACAAGAAAGAACTTGTGAGACTTGGAGAAATTTGCTTGTGTGTTTTGAAAAGCACTTGGGCCTGGGTTTGTTTGGTTTACTTTTATCAAGTTAGAGCTAATTGCTAATGTTTTCTTCCCCTGCCTCCAACTCCTGCCAAACAGTTTATGACCTAATGCACAAGAACTGCATATCTAAACTGGTGTTCACAAATGTCAGAGCTGGCGGCAGCCAAGAGTCCCACCACCCAGAATGTAAAACGTCCTCCATGTCTGGAGAGGGAGGCGCATACTGAAGGATCAGGATGTCTGCGGATCAGTCACTCTCCATGGAATCAGCATCTGTTGCGTGCCAAGAACCAGCCAGGGGTGGGATATAAAGGTGACATACAATGGAGAGAGGGCATCAAATTAAAAAGGGGGGGTGCAAATTCTGGCATTCTAGGGTTTCCATCCCACCTATATCACCTACCAGGTGTGTGACCTTGGGTAAAATTCTTACCCCTCACCATCTCAGCTTTTAAACAACAAAACGGGTTGTTTGAGGATGAAACACAAAATGTCTGATGTAGCTAAAGAGCCTGGGAGGTAGGAGGCAATAAGCACGTGGCAGCTGCTGTTGAGATACAGTTCACTCCTTCAAGAGGCCTACCTTCTGCCAGATGAACGGCAGCTTCTCGCACACGTGCACTCGCTCATTCACTTGCTCATGAAATACGTGCTGAACGCTACGTCTCAGGCCCTGTGCTAAGCACGAGGGCTAAAGCAGGGAACAAAAGAGACACGTGTCTGCTCTTGTGGCGCTCACCTTCTAGTAGGAGGGGGAGGCAATAAGAAATAGAAACATAAATAAATAACATGTTGGGTGGTGAGGAGCGCTCTGAAGTAAAATAAAGGGAAAAGAGACAGAGCGATAAGGGTGTGCTATTCAGGTAAGGTGACAGGGATGGTCTCTCCGGTGAGGCTGTGAAGAAGTGAGGGCGCAAGTGGTGTGAGCACCATCCAAACAGCATCCCAGACCGAGGGGTAGCCACGCGGGGACAGCTCCTGGGGAGCCCTGCTCAGCCACAGGGAACCTGCAGAGCCGAGGCTCCAAGCCCTCCGAGTAGCGGCCTCCTTCCCTTTGCCCCGGCTTTAGGATCCCACTCTTCTTCTCGTGGACCCACAGACACAACCCCGCTGGCGACACTGGGGGGCCTCTGCCCCAGGCAGCCAGCACAACGGCCAGCACACTGAGGAGCTGCACAGAGGATTAGGTGTAGGAGATGAGGGGCAGCCTCAAAGAACCACTGACGCCCTAGTCCACGTGAGATAAGCGTATGTAAGGAAAGACGCCAGAATGTTTGCCAGGCATCACTATTACAGGATGATGCAGGAGATGACGCACATCCCTAAGTGTGAGTGCTGAGGGGATGCTGGGCAGCGGAAAGACACAACGGGAGGCGAGAGCCCCATGGGTGAGGGCTCGGAGTGCAGGTAGAGAGGCCCAGGCACCTCTCAAAGTGAGATGAAAAAATTACACGCGTCCATACATACAAAACCGTGTTGTGCACAACTTGGAATTTGAAAGCCCATCATGCACAGACTCCAACAGCCACCAGTTAAGAATCCTTTTATCTAAAGGGACCTCATCTTGGTCTCTCACTCTAGCTTCAGGGTCACTACTTGGATGGCTCAGCTGAACTTGGGGAATATAGATGTTGGTGCAGATTCGGAAACTGTGACTTTTAAGCCCTGCCTTTAACCTCCAGCTTCATGGAGGTTTGGAAAAAAGAAATGCATTAAATAATTTGGGATTCTTCCTTTTCTTGGCTAGGCCATTAGAAGGTTCTCAACCCAAATTGGCAAATGCATAGCACATGTGCCGTCTGCCTTCCTTCACCCTCAGCAGGCACTGATAACCCTCTGCAATACTCCTGGGCCAAGCGGTGGCCTCAGAAACATCCTCAACGCCACACTCCAGGGTCACTGCAGATGGTGGCACGTGACACACAGACATCTGTGCTATCACAGCATCAGCTCTTCTTTATATTGGAAGTGGTGTTTACAACCCACTGGCAGAGGAACACATAGTCTGATTTTTTTTTTATCTAGCAAAAGAATGAATTATGTGGGATTTTTGCATATTTCCTCACTCTGTGAGTGGTTGTCAGGTTGAGGTTAGGAATAGAGTCTGTGCTCAGAAAATACATGTTCCATTTGACGCTAAGGAGCTGATTTATGCCTTGGTCTCGGGTTGAAAGCACATAGCCCAACTACCCCTGAAGCTATTTAGCAAAAGTCATAAACCTCAAAGATAAAGCATGTGTATGTCTTTGCACGTGCATGTGTGTGTGCTCACACGTGTGTATAGGGAGAAAAGTCTGAAAGCAGGCAGGAGGTATTAAAGAAAGATAAGATTTGAAGTCTTACAAAATCTGAAAAATCACTCTGGTCTCAGAAGAGTGTACCCTGTAACAATATCAAAGTAGAATCAACAAGAGTGCCAGTAAAATGCTCTTATTATTTGCCTTATTTGGACCTAGTTCATATTTCTATTTAATTGCCTCTCTCATTTTCTTGGGTAATAATTATAAGGCTAACTTTTCAAGTAAAGTAAAATTGTTCCTCTGCTCTATGCAGATTTGTTGCAAAGCAAGTTAAGGCAAGTATTCCCAACCCCCCTTCTCCTACGGGGGTCACTAGGACCCAGCCAGTCTGGGGGTTCACATATCATCCCAGGTTGGGAAGACTTGGTCCTATCCCAGCTCTTGCACTAATTATCTGGGACAACTCACTGACAGGGTGGGACGTGAGCCTTTCCAGGCTTCATTTTCCTTGTTTATTAGATAAATATGTTTGACTGGTTAATAGAATGGGTGTGAGTCTGTGATGGGGCTGGGGAGTGGCTTGACAATTTTGCAGGACAAACCAGTAACTATTAATAGTTTAAATATGTTCTATGATGCGTCTGTAATCCCAATTTAGGCAGCAAATGCTCTGTCATTGGCCGAGGAGCCCCAGCAAGGGTGAAATGGAAAGTCTGAAAAACCCTCATTGCAGGTGTAGCAGATCAAAGCACACATCCTTTGGATGGCTCAGTAATACCTTAGGATATGCAATGTGATAGAAACCTTCACTTTGCCTGCACTCACTGGGACTGCTGCCTCTTGGTGCGTAAACTGGTAACAGCCTATGTATGAGAAATGACTTATTTCTTGCAGAAATAGCATGTAGATAAAGTGGTAAAATTACTTAGAAACACATACAACACTGTGTTCAAAAGTAATTTTTGGAAACATTTTTTTTGAAATAGAGTCTCACTCTGTCACCACCCGGGGTAGAGTGCAGTGGCATCATCATAGTTCACTGAAACCTCAACTCATGGGCTCAAGCGATCCTCCTACCTCAGCCTCCCGAGTAGCTGGGACTACAGGCGAGTGCCACCATGCCTGCTAATTTTTTCTGTTTTTGGTAGAGAGAGAGTCTCACTCTTGCTCAGGCTGGTCTCAAACTCCTGACCTCCTGCCTCATCCTCCCAGAGTGCTAGGATTATAGGTGTGAGCCACTGCACCCACACAACTTTTGGAAACTTTAAGATCCGTTCCCTGATTTCCCTTACTTTGCTCTGTATCTGAGAGGTTGATTCCTGCAAACTTCATTTCCTAGAGTCACGTGCCTGCTGGCTTCAGGTTAAATTCTGCCAGTGGGAAGCAATGGCAGGAGATCCAGAGGTAGGGAGAAGCCAGGGCATTTCTCCTTTCTCTCAGCATGGAGACTGCCTCTGTGGATCTGTCTCCCATTGGGAAGCTGCTCCCTCTGTGGTCCCAGCTCCTGCTGGGTGGCTCCTCTATCCCACCACCCACCTCCTCTTCCCTTTGATTCTCCAGCCCTGCAGGTACAAGCTGGATTGCCTCACTGTGCCTTCAACCTTTCCAACCTTGGCAATGAATTCCCTCCACTGAACTACGAGGCGTGGGCTCTGCCTTCCCAACCAGACCTTGAGTGATGCACTATCCAGGGGGCTACTGGTCTCTAGAGAACACACCGTGGTCAGGAGCGTACAGACTCCTAGAAATGAATGTGGCAGACTCATTCCTTCAGACCTGCAGGGAAGGTCTGTCTGATGGTCCATTCCCCTGACCACCCAGTACTCCTTGCACTAGGCATGTGTTGGAGTGGAAGGAACATTGGATGGACAACGAGAGAACTAGAAACTCACTGTGTAGTCATGTGACCTTCGTCAAGTGCCTCAGAGCCACAAAAATTCAGGTTAATTCATGTTGCAGAGGTAAGAGTTCATCTGGCCTACTGACTGCCTATTTGGCTCAAACAGGGAGAGCATGGAAACATGTTTTGGAAACCGAAATGGTCATTGAAAGTCTCAACATATGACTATAATTATATGGGACACAGTTGACGTTCATGGAACAGAAAATGTTTTGCTCTTGGCTTAGCCCAATTTTCTTTTCTCAGCCTGATGTGTACTAAATGTCCTAACATAGGGAAACTGCATCAGCCAGTGCCTGGCACGTCAGGAGAGCCGTGTGGCTCCTGCCTGTGATTACCGCCCGGGGCTCCCCTTGGCATGGAGGCAAAATGTCAGCTTATCAAGGACTGTGCAGGGAGGCCAAGGTCAACTTACCAATGTCAAGGACCCTCTGCTTCGCCGTATGCTGCCGAGAGTGCCAGTACTTCCAGTATTTAAGCTGCTCGTCTCGGTTTTTGTCTTCACTGAAGACCACCATCACCACGCTCTGCAGAGAGGAGAATCGTACAGCTTACTTTCTGCTCAGGATCTCTGCTGCCTCAGGCTCTGGTTCTGGGAGTTCTACACGACGGGTTTTTCTGTTATGTTGCTTTTCTGGCTTTAGAAAAGCCCAGACAAGCTCTCTTGTACAGTCTGTTTTGTTTTAAAACGGATGTACTCAAAAAATGATTAGGGGCCGGACGTGGTGGCTCACGCCTGTAATCTTAGCACTCAGGGAGGCCGAGGCAGGAGGATCATTTGAGGTCAGGCGTTTGAGACCAGCCTGAGCTAGAGACCCCATCTCTACTAAAAATAGAAAGAAATTAGCTGGGTAACTAAAAATAGAAAAAAATTAGCCGGGTATGGTGGAGTGTGCTTGTAGTCCCAGCCACTTGGGAGGCTGAGGCAGGAGGATTGCTTGGGCCCCGGAGTTTGAGGTTGCTGTGAGCTAGGCTGACGCCACGGCACTCTAGCCTGGGCAACAGAGCAAGACTCTGTCTCAGAAAAAAAAAAAATTAGAAAATGAGAACAGCACAGAAAAAAAAAAAAAAAAAATCCTGTATCAGTTTTACCAGGAGGTTATGAACAAGCAGATTAACCAATTACCAGAAAATTTTTTATTTTTTGAGGTCAGCAGGAACACCAAAAAAATTCTTTTTCTCATATTGAAAACAAGTACACTTTTGAAATTTCATATCCTTAAACATAGAATTTGGCACTATTGGCAAATATGGCAGAATTTGGCAAATATCCATTTCTGGCCTAATTAAGTGCTTCAGATTAGAATATTGGAAATAATGAGAGAAATACTAGGAAAAGGAGGGAAATGCTAAATGACAAATTCACACTGATGAACATAGATCTAAACTAAAGATATTTCATGCACCAAAAAATTGCAAGGACAAATATGATATTTATTTAAATATAATGTGGATGTACTGTAAAAAGGAGCTTGGGAACCTAATTATATCTTGCAGAAATGAGAATCCCAAATCCTTTTCAGTTCTAAATTACAAACAGCCTCATTAAACTAAATACATAGGCTGGGCTAGGTGGCTCATGCCTGTAATCCCAGCACTTTGGGAGGCCAAGGCAGAAAATTGCTTGAGGCTGGGAGTCTGAGAACAGCCTGGGAAACATAAGGAGACCCCCATCTCTACGAAAGATAAGAAAAGTTAGCATGGTGGTGCACCTACAGTCCCAGCTACTCAGGAGGCTGAGGTGGGAGGATCATCTAAGCCCAGGAGTTCAAGGCTGCAGTGAGCTCTGATCATGCCACTGCACTCTAGCCTGGGTGGGAGAGTGAGACGCTGTCTTAAAAAAAAAAAAAAAATCCCAAACTAAATACTCATTAATTCACTGCCATTTATGAAATAGAAACAGTACCAAAAACATCCTCCCTCCCTGCAAAATAACCTTTAATTACAGTATTGGGAATACTCCTCCTCTTACCCCATATCCAAAATACTTCTTAGACACTTTCCTACGATTCCAGGAGAATATTTCATGGACTCTCATTCCTTAAGAACTTCTCCTTTGTAGCAATTTACGCATTTGCAGTCATTCACTTATTTACAATTATTCAGCCGGTGGCAATGTCTTCCCATTAACTTCAGACTCAACAAGGACAGTATCAGTGCCTGCACCTCACCTTGGTGCCTGATAGATAAGACAGCAAATACACGCTGCTGGCTGACTATTAATTCAAGCCCTGGCTCAGTCCTAGCATACATGCGAACATTTTTTAAACAAGAAAGCAGATGTTTCTTAGAAAAACTAGTTTAGAAATATGTATCCATATTATTCAAAGTCACAGCAGCTTAATGTTCAAAGGCATGGACAAGTGACAGGGACCGTTCACTGTGCTGGGGCAGCTATGAGCTCAGCCAGCTCTTCATTCTTCCCTCTAGGCTTCCTCAAACTTTTCCGTTTATATGTAAAATTTTACTATGTGGCTTCCTGATGTTTATTTCTACCCCCAAATAAAAAGAACATTTAAAATGAGTATTTTTTTCTAGCAGCTGACTAAATTAGCATAAATAATGACATATTTTTGGTATGGAAATTTATTTCTTCAGTGATAAAGAAAAAAGCAGCGTGAAGCTGTTATTACCACGCCTTACATGCTTCAACTTGGAATTAAACACTGTTCTCAGAAATAAATGCTGGTAAGTCACAAAGGCATCCCTCTTTCCTCCAGACAGCTTGCCGTCCCAGAGCCGAGAAGAAAGATCCACTCTGAAAGGCGTCAAACTTAGCCTCCAAGGGTGTTAGGTTAAAGTCCTTAAGAGAAGGGAGACTCCTCACTTTAGCCAAAATGGAACATAAGGAAATAAAATTTTTACATTAACTTATCTCCATGATTCCAACAAAGTGGATTCCTGGAAAAGTTCCTGTACTCTGAACTGTTGTCATGACTGTAGAATACTAACCATTCATCATTTTTCAGGGTGATGGTAATGGTGTTGTTAAGAGGGTATAGATGAATTATACTCTTTACTTGGAATCTACAAGACTTTTTTTTTAAAGCAAATTTATTCAGTGTCTTCTTACCATACACCCACATATGAGGGGTAGGGTATAATTCTGGGATATAGATCTAGATGGGGCGCCTGTACCTGACACCTGCCTGTCAGTGGGTAGGGTGCAATTCTAGGACATATTCAGAGAGGGAGCCCAGGCTAACGTCTCTCTGCCTTTCCACCCTCCGTGCTGCTCAACATAGCACAGCATTATGGTTTAAGAGAGCTGGGTTCAGGAGTCTGACGGTCTGGGATATATCCTGGTTCCCTTATATTTTAGCTACGTAAACTTGGCCAGTTACTAGCCTCTAAAAGCCAAACTTTCCTTCTCTGTAATATTATTATTTAAAAAACAGTGCCTTTTTCATAGGGCTGTTGTTAGTTTCAATGGGTTACTAGATGAATGATGTCTACCATAGTGCCAGCCACACAGGAGATACTCAGTAAGTATTAGTTGTAATTTTGCGACTCCTGTTGTTGTTATAGCATATTCTTCACCACAATCCTGACCACAGTGTTGGGACACACCAACTCTCTTGGTGAGCACACAGCACACTGGGACCTTCCTCCCAGTAGTGGGCTCAGCCCCACCTGTGCTGGGGTGCACTGGGGCTGTCCGAGCTCTATGCACCCCACGGTGCTTCTCTCTTAGTGTCCTGAAGAGCTTTGGAGGAGCAAGCTGTGGCTAATATAAGGTGGGCTGGGCACGATGGACGCAGCAGCATAAATCATTTTATGACAGACCAGGAAAATCCTTCAGGCTCTTTTCAGAGCTCTGCTGTAATTTTCCTTTTCAGTAGACAGGGATTACCAGCATCCTCCCTTCTTGGCAGTATCGAGAATGCCAGAAGCTGGCAAGCTCCCAGAGTGGTGAACTAGGGCTCCAATTTCACTTCCCACAAATGGAACTAATATTCATGGATCTGAAAATTCTTCCAACTTACTCCTGGTGCGGATCAGGCCTCATCCCTTGAACTTTGAGAAAGCACCGGGCTGCAGAAGGCTTTTAAACCAAGTTACAAAGGGCCCAGGGATTCAGAATGAATTGCATTTTCCTTTACAGAATAGAACAACAGCTTTCTCACCCACAGATATGTTCTAACTTATAGCTACTTACTTGAAAAATTAAGATCAATTGATTAAAAACAACAGCTAAGTGGCATATAGGCAGTGAATGAAGCAGGGAAAATTCCTTGGATACAGTTAGAAAGCACGATCTAACCATGTCCCTCCCCTGGGGTTTATTGGTTACTGATTAAAATGATAAACTACAAGCCAATAAGTTCTCTTGCCCCAACTCTCTGACATTTGTTCTAGAATTATTTATTCTGGAATTTTTTGCCATGCCGTTCCATGGTGGTGAGGTAGCGATTCCACTCATCTCATCCTCTGTACTGCATTTAAGAAACGGGGCCCGTACCCTGACTTTGCTGATGGGGTGTCGGAAGCATTTGTTGTCTCCAGTCTCGCTGAGCGTTATAGCATAGAACTGTCCTTTGTTGAGGTAGGTCATGGGGCCCTCCCCCTGCTTCTGACGGAGAGATTTGGTGGCTTCCAGGGTGTACTGAAACGTGCCACTGTGAACAGAAAACAAACAGTGCGTCAGATTCGCTCACTTGGACATTTCTGCCTTCCTGACCAATCTCATAACAGCATTTTGTAGGAATATTAACCAATATTTACTCTATTTTAGAGACAAAACACAGCATATGGCAAAAGACATGAGACCAGACCAAAGGTCATTGTTAGTACAATATATACGACATTTCTAATGGTGGCCCATAAACCAGATGGTTTAGAAGGGGAGAAAGTCCATGATGTGCCTTGCCAATTGTGTAAGTTTGTGCCAGGAAAAACCCTGGTAGATCTTAGCTGGCGATTAGGGAGTGCCTGAAGCTTAAGAATTGATGGAATTTGCCACTTTTATGCTAATAACATACTAAATGTATGAACGTTTTTGTTCAATTCCTAAGCTTCTTTTTGTCTAACCAAGAGGTTGCAAATAGCTATATTCCACTTCAAAACATTTCAAAATGTGAAAATCCAAAACTCAAACATTCACTACTGAGACTCGTTCCTTGGCAGATAATTTTTTTTTTTTTTTGTCTTTTGTTTCTTGCTTTTAAACCTGCAAAACAATTCATGACAGGGTTGCTCTAAATCAGGGGTTTGCAAATGACGGTCCATGAGCCAAATCCAACTCATTGCCTATTTTTGTAAATAAAGTTTTATTGGAACACAGCCATACTCATTTGTTTGTGTATTATCTATGACCCTTTCACACTACAACTGCAGGGTTAAGTAGTTGTGATAGAGACTGTAGTCCACTAAATCTAAAATATTTACTACCTAGCTCATTATAGAAAAAGTTTGCAGATCCCTGCTCTAAAGAGTTTCCTAATATTTTAAAATACTACTTAATTTTCAAAACAAAAACACTAATTTTCCCCAACTTTGAAGAACACATTCATTTCAACTGAAATGAACACAATAGTTATGAACCACAATCTTCTTTGTTTAACACGTTCTTTCAGAAATATTTATTTCTGTTGCACTGCAGGATGACACACAGTGACGATCCAATAACAAGCATTTTGTGTATGTTCTGAATCATCAGAACCTCTCCATTGGTTCTAATTTTTTTTAGCTCTTTCATTTCATAGTCTTTGGAAGCCTGTGTGCAAAGACAACTCAAACTTTTTCTCTTAAAATGGCCTCCTTACAGGATTATGTGGGACTCTTGCTTTCTACATTATTTCTATAATGTTTTATTTATTTTTTAACTTTTATAATGAGAAAATATTTTGAAGGGCAAAATAATATTCTTCTTATATGATAAAAATCTCAAGTGAATTAATAAAATGTGGTATATGTATACTGTGGTATACATGGTACCGGGGAGTACCACTCAGCCATAAAAAAAATGAATTAACACCTTTTGCAACAATCTATATGGAACTGGAGACCATTCTCCTAAGTGAAGTATTGCAAGAATGGAAAAACAAACACCACGTGTACTCTCACTATTAAATTGGAACTAACTGATCAGCACTCGTGCACAGATGGAAGTAAAACTCAGCAGAAATCATGCAGGTGAGAGGAAGGAGAAAGGGACGGGTGAATTCATACCTAACAGGTACAATGTACACTATCTGAGTGATGGGCACACTTACAACTTTGATTCAAGCAGTACAAAAGCAATCCACGTAACCAAAACATTTGTACCCCCATAATATTCTGGAAAAAAAATCTCAGGCTTAAGCTAATAAACTAAGCAAATTCCAGAATATGTGTCTTGGAATAAGGTGGGAAATAAATCATTCTAGATGGAACTGATTGCATTGTCATTTTGCCTGAAAAAGCAATTTCAATATACTATCATTCAATCATAACATTTTAGACCTGGCCAGGATATTAGGAATCACCTAAGCCAGTAGTTTTCACCTTGTCCAGGGCACAGACTGCTTTAAAAACATGAAGAAAGCTGTGAAACCTCTTCCTAGAAAAAGGCACATATGAACATAAATGAGTTTTTATATAATTTTAGGGATTAATGTCCCCCCAGCCGTTCCGTAACACAGGGCATGTACCCAGGATTCAGCCCACCTTCCTCGCTTCACAGCTGAGGAGAGGCTGAGAGATGTGCTCGCCCTGCAAGATGA